GCAGAATGCTAGCAGCATCCCTTGGAATGGAAAGAACTGTAGATACCTTTGTAATATTTTCCTCTTGCAGTTGCTGAATATCAGCTTCACTCAAAATTGCATAGTTCTGCTCAGGAAGACATATATAGTGAGCATCCAAAAAGTTTAAAAGTGCAAGTTAATAGCAGTATAGCACATGGAACTTAAGCAAGTACATTAAGCTCAGACCATTGCATGCATGTATTCAAGAATTAGGGAAAGCAAAATCTTTGCTTAGGAGTAAAAGTACAAGGAGAAATTTAAAAGTATTTTTTCCTTTTCCATATAAAAGGAGGAAAAATATATAACACATTATCAAAATTCTTATAGAGACCAATATATTTAATTATAACCAAAAAGTAGGCAATTAAATTAAATGAAAAAAACTACAGAAACTTCAAACATCGAGCTAATGTCTTCTATTTCAAGCTTAAAACATCCATTTAATCCCATCAAGTCATGGGAAAAAATCGTTTCTAAGTTCATATGTGAGTTACAAGTTTAAATGCAAACAAAGTAGGGTCTTATGAAGTTTATTTGAAGCAAGTGACATTGACAGCAGTAGAATAAACAAAAAGATAATCCCCACACTAGAATGCAATCCAAGTATTTTCAGTCCATTTATCCTACTTCAGGGTTACCATACACTCTTTGCTGGAACAGAAAACCCAAGGTTCTTTTCTATGTCATCCACGTAAAAGAGAATGTTACATAGTTTAAGCATATAATTCAAAGTTTTTTATTTTAGCTAACCGGAAAAAAAAAATAATGATAAAATAAAAAATAAAAAGAAGAAAACACTTTCACTACGATAAATCATTGGCCACGAATTCCATGAAACGTTTATAAAACTCTATAAGACAATGAACCAAGTAAAAATTTCCCATTGTTTTCCATATACATTAAAACTAGCCTATGAATGATGCAAACTTTATTCCACACCTTGTGAAACTACAAGATGTAACAGTTTATTTATCAAGATCCTCGTAATTGATGCCGAAAACCTTGACTTAAATATCATACTTAGCAGCTCAAGATAATCGCCATTCCTAAAGAAAAAAATATAATAAAGAATTGATAGCCATTAAAAATTCCATCATTTCCAATATATTCATCAAATTATTGAAAAAAAAAAACAAACGTCAGTTTTAAAAAAAAGCATTTCCAATTGTCACCCCAAAAAAGAAAAAATGAAAAGAAAAAATAAAAAAAGTGAAAATAAAAATTGCGACGACCTGCGATCGATGATGATGGTTGTGGTGTGAATGGGAGGAGGAGGAGAAGTCGAAGTCGTCGGAGTCATCCGTATCATGGTCGATGAAGCCATCGTAATCCATGATGACGTCATCCAGGTCATCATCATCTCCTCCGCCGCCGTAGAATTCATCGTCGTCGTTCGAATCGTCCATCATCAGCTCCATCTCGTCCTCCGATTCCATTTCCTCTCTCTATGTGTATGTATAAATATATAGATACAAATACTTGTATTTGTTGTACGTATATGTGAAGAAAATGCGCAGGCAGACAGAATGAAATATATGGAAGCAAGAAAAATTTTAGTGGAGGTCACCTAAGTTACACGTTTGTCTCACGTTGGTTGTTCAATTTCAATTTGATTGCTTAGCTTATATTTTTGACGACGCTATCTTTTCTGGGCTAGGAACATGAATTTCGCATTTTCTATTAGAATGTGAGTTTTCCATAGAGGTAAATAGAAGTGGGGCATCGAATAGTTTGATTTGTGTATATGAAAAATCGAACTGATTTTCATTAAAACTATGAAAATCGAATAATTAGTTTTATGAAACAAAATAATCAAAAATTGGAGCGGATTCTTTTACACTTCAAAAATAAATTATTAATATAAGATGTTGGGTAAATTTTCTTGTTTCGATTTTATGACTTTTTTGTTTCAAATAATAAAATGGAAAGAGTATTATGAATGTGTTGATTCATATATATTCATAAGAATTATTATTTTATTGAGAGGTTAATTAAAAAATTCAAGTTTTAGTTTTGTAGTTATAATTCAGAACAAGATTAGAATCGTTCAGTTTTTTACTATAAACCTTTGGATCGAATCAATTTTAACTAGAATCAAACTGAACCACTGGTTTCAATAGGTGACCTATATGAATTCAACAATGTTATGGTGGTCGAATTTTTGTTGACATAATGGCTGATCGACACTCATAAGGAAGATGTTTTCTTTTTGGACTTTTTTATTCACACGAGACTTACGAGCGTGTGAGAGGATGTCAACCATTGTAACAAAAAAATTCTAGCAAAGTGACTTTTTCCATCTGAATTTGGTTTAGGTCAGATAATTCCAAGTAAAAGTTTCCACTCCTAATAGCAAGTGATATTCATCATGGAGGAGGAGGAGAAGTCGAAGTCGTCGGAGTCATCCGTATCATGGTCGATGAAGCCATCGTAATCCATGATGACGTCATCCAGGTCATCATCATCTCCTCCGCCGCCGTAGAATTCATCGTCGTCGTTCGAATCGTCCATCATCAGCTCCATCTCGTCCTCCGATTCCATTTCCTCTCTCTATGTGTATGTATAAATATATAGATACAAATACTTGTATTTGTTGTACGTATATGTGAAGAAAATGCGCAGGCAGACAGAATGAAATATATGGAAGCAAGAAAAATTTTAGTGGAGGTCACCTAAGTTACACGTTTGTCTCACGTTGGTTGTTCAATTTCAATTTGATTGCTCAGCTTATATTTTTGACGACGCTATCTTTTTTGGGCTAGGAACATGAATTTCGCATTTTCTATTAGAATGTGAGTTTTCCATAGAGGTAAATAGAAGTGGGGCATCGAATAGTTTGATTTGTGTATATGAAAAATCGAACTAATTTTCATTAAAACTACGAAAATCAAATAATTAGTTTTATGAAAAAAATAATCAAAAATTGGAGCGGATTCTTTTACACTTGAAAAATAAATTATTAATATAAGATGTTGTGTAAATTTTCTTGTTTCACTTTTATGACTTTTTTGTTTCAAATAATAAAATGGAAAGAGTATTATGAATGTGTTGATTCATATATATTCATAAGAATTATTATTTTATTGAGAGGTTAATTAAAAAATTCAATTTTTAGTTTTGTAGTTATAATTCATAACAAGATTAGAATCGTTCAGTTTTTTACTATAAACCTTTGGATCGAATCAATTTTAACTAGAATCAAACTGAACCACTGGTTTCAATAGGTGGCCTATATGAATTCAACAATGTTATGGTGATCGAATTTTTGTTGACATAATGGCTGAACGACATTCATAAGGAAGAGACTTCCTTTTTGGACTTTTTTATTCACACGAGACTTACGAGCGTGTGAGAGGATGTCAATCATTGTGACAAAAAAATTCTAGCAAAGTGACTTTTTCCATATGAATTTGGTTTAGGTCAGATAATTCCAAGTAAAAGTTTCCACTCCTAATAGCAAGTGATATTCATCATGTTCTCTAAGTTACAAATTCCATTGTACGAGACATTAACTTTAATAGTAGTTACATAGTACAGTCAAATATAAAGGAATGGAAATAAGAGTAGTGTGAATGTATTGAAATAAAATATAATTCAGACAATATAATTAAAAGGTTGAACTCCAACCTTAAGGGTCCCCCACCGCCCCTACCCTGGAGTATCGTGAGGGAGATAAATCACATGTTATGCCTCCAAGGGTACAGGGTGAAAGGCTGATTGTACACTTGTACTTACCCAAGAGACAAATCCATATTTCAGGATTCGAACCCTTGACGCAACAGCCTCAAGCAAAGCTGGATTTCTCCACCCTCCCCTTTTACCACTTGGAGATGTGCCCGGGGGCAATTCAGACGATATAATTAAATTACATTAAAGGTGGATGCCCAACATAAAACAAGATATTAAGTTAAGTGGTCTCCAGCAAAAAATTCGGTATGGGAAGCATACGTGTCGGCGGTGGAAATCAATGATTCCCTGCTTTCATGATTGAAAGAAGAGGTACAAGTCTTGATGCACAAAGTACCAAATGTATTAGACATTAAAGTCCGGTTTGGCGCAGGGTAGTCTGACTAACGTGAATTGCTCCATTAGAATTCATGACATTGTATCTAGGGGCAAATGTCCATATGCATGTTTCAAAACTCCGCCCGCAAAATAATTTGATAAAATACTAAATTATTATTGTTGATTATCAAAAATAAAGTTACTTTTAGATCTACTTACAGAAATTTTAATAAAATAATTGTGTTATATTTACTAAAATTTGAATCCAAGTACGATATAATTTGTTGGAATTTCAGTATAAGTAGTATACATGAATTCACTATGGCTCATCCATTTTCATTGGACTTAGGCTTGTGTGCCATCTCCCTCTTATGAGAGATTTCACTGGTTGGGGAGTTTGACGACGATAAATCATCATTGATACCTACATCATAATCTTGCACCTAATGTCATCGTTACTTTTTCTGTGACTAGTTGTTGCAAGTGAAAATACTTTTTCGATTGTGTTACGATTTTGTTTTCATATAAAATCTCACATACGGACCTAAACGGATGGGGACCATGGGTCAACCTTTCATGTTTTTCCCATCATTTGACTAATTCAAGGTAGACGCCTAAGTAATCCAACTGTATTTTCAAATGGCACCAACAATTACATTTATGATTGGATTACAAGTTAATTTTTTTGTTAGATACAAACGTGACAGATAAAACGGTCTTCATGCCCTAGTTCTTTTGTGGTCAATTGACGTGTATAGAATATCGAGTATGACAATCTCAAGGTTCGACTTTACTAGTAATTTTTTAGGCACTAGAGCTTTCGTAATGACTTGAAAATAAATGAAAGGAAACAAGAAATATATTGTTAAATTCTGTTCGTCCAAGGAAAAGTACCTGTAATATGCACAAGATTCCATCTCCCACGATACTCTCGAGTAGGTTCGTCTATTGACAATAGAGTTTGTTCTAAAATCCACTATTTGCAGATTCATCAACTTTGTTCATAACGTGTTCAAAGAAACAAAAATTACTAATATATTTCCATTACCTAGAGATTCAAGGACTGCTATTCTCCTTCATATCAGCAATTTCTGAAGTTGCATTCTGTGCAATTCTTCTCGTTGTCTGGATTTGGCGGACATATTCTTTAACTAGGACATTGAACTTCGGGGCGACCCTGTAGAAGAGACATTGAGACCAGCCATCCTTAGAGCACGTGCCTTGTGCTTTTTACCCTTTTGGAAGTGGAGAAAGCAATAAGAAAGAATAGTTGATCTCAGTATTGTTTTTCCACATAGTATTGGTCCTGTTGGCACATGCACAATCCAGAAAAATAAGAGAAGTGTTAGTTTCAACAAAAGTAACACTAACAGGTAAATATATTAGCACTTCGCATAAGGTCAAATCTCACTGCAGCCGGTATTTTCTTCAAAAGAATCCAGTGTAGGAATTACTTCTGAGTAATCAAATGAAAAATCAGGAATCAAGTGATAATTTAATAAATTCATTACGAAGATGAGAACGCTATTATGATACATCCTTGATGTCAGCACTTCGTTCAAGAAATCACAAATTTATAACCTATATCTTCACAACTCCTCTTAAGCCTTGAAAAAGAATCGGCTTTCACTTTTCATTCAGGTATCCACACTATGCTCATGTTTGGTGCAGATTCTTTATGCTCATTTTTTCTTTACAACTACACATTTCCCAATAAAATAATTTTGCACGTGTACCCATAACTTTTCCCAAGTATCCATACTATGCTCATGTTTGGTAGAGATTCATTAAACTCATTGACAACTACACATTCAACCAGTAAACTCATATACACTGATGACTAATTAAGATACGAGAGCAAAAAGCATTACATCCTAAATATATTGAGATCATAGTTTTTGTTTCTAGCCACTATCACAATAGATGCTGCCTTTCTTCATGATCTAAATTTAAAAGAAAAGGAAATCTTAGGATTATAAAGTACACTAAAAAGAAATACGATCCCCATCTCAAAGTATGCCTCGAAGGTTGTATCCCAAGCCAAAACCAAACAAAACCTAGAAAGTTTATGTGTCATGCAAAATCAAACCATCCCAATACACTTGCACCTCAATAAAATAGAGTACAAACAGAGAGTTCCCGAGCATCCCCCAATTCTTGGAGTTATGGGATGATCTTGGAAGTACAATGAAAAACAAACTTAGCAATTAAGATATATCAATAATGGCATAGTAGTTGCCATATCATACCCCCAATCCCTGTAGATCAAAATCCAATCTTTAAAAAACAGTGTATAACCATCACCTACCAATCAGTACACACAGAATTGTGTGACTATGAAAGCTTATCAACATTATGCTGAAGGAAAATCAATATTTTCCCCGTCATTCCTATCCTAGACCAGACTACACTGAGAAAAGTGCGCCAGAAAGCAGGGAATTACATCCCGGATCTTTTTAATGTTGAAGCTCAATGATTAATAAAGCACAAGTTCACGAGGCAAAAAGCAGGGAATTACATCCCGGATCTTTTTAATGTTGAAGCTCAATGATTAATAAAGCACAAGTTCACGAGGAAATATAGGCAAAATAAATATTG